ATTTTAATATTACATTAAATTAAAAAATGTTTTATAATAAATTTTATCAAATAACTTTTTCACTTTATAAGTATTTTCATAAAAAATTTTATTAAATATTTTTAACTTCTCAAAAATAATACTTTTATGATAAATTTTATCAAATAACTTTTTCACTTTATAAGTATTTTCATAAAAAATTTTATTAAATATTTTTAACTTCTCAAAAATAATACTTTTGTGATAAATTCTTCCAAACAAAAAATTTATTAAAAATTCCAATCACACTATACAAACTCTATATCTCCTAGCTATTTCTCAATTAAGTCTGGAGAAAAAAGTCTCATTATTTTTATTAAAAGTTTGGCGGCCATAGGGATTCCCGTTGGAGGCTTATTTCCTAGAGGGATAGGAACGGGATGGGGGGACTCTCTTTGATCCCGCAGGACCGTTGTCATCCTTTCTTTGTAATATGATTAAATTTAGAAATGTGTATAATTTGATGGAAACAAAGTGGAGAGAAGGAAATCATAAGAAAAATGATAAAAATGATGAATTTTAAGGAATTAAAATCTAAAATTAAAAATATAATACGAGTAATCTTAATTTAAAATATTAAAAAATAAATTTTATATTTTATTAAGTATTTAATTATTTTTATATTATTAAAATTTATAATATTATATATATTAAATTATTTAATAAAATAATTTATGTTAAGTTATTAATTTTATATTTTCATCCCCAATACCGAATGAGAAAATCTTTCCTCCTAAATTTGTGATGTATAAATAAAGGAAGTTGAAAAGGGTAATAGAGGAATCATGCTTTCTATTTTCACATTATTATTCAACCTTCCCATCTCTCTTCCAATACTTCGCCTTTACTAGTTTATTTTTCTTTCTAAACATGGGTTTTCAACAGCAGCTCCACCTCCCCTCATAAAAATTGGCCGCACCCAAACATAAATAGAAACAAAAAGGTGGTGGTAGATGCATGAGCCACCGCAACACCACACCAACTTCAAACTCACATAAACCGCACCCTTTCTCTTCACATTCACCACCTTCCCCTTCTTAAGATCTCAAACCCTTTTTCAGATTTTACCTCCACGGTTTCTACCCTCTCCGAACCAGTCAACCACCACTTTTATCTCTTTCAGGTATCTAACTATCATAAAAACGATGACTTTTTAATCTTCTTGTTACTGGGTTTTTTTTCCTGGGTTTTTGTGCCCTGTTCTTGGTCATTGACTCGTGGGCATAATGCTCTGAGGGGTGTGAAAGCACTTGTAGGGGTTACACTCTGTTGTGTCTGAAAAGCTGAAAGCTGTGGACTGTTGTTTTCTCATATTTGCTTTGTATGTTTTCTCTTGATTTCTGTGTTTTGGCTTTAAATGGTGTGTGTGTTTTGGCTTTTGGGTTTTGACCGCTGGTTCTGCCTCCATGAAAGGTGTTAGGTTGGTGGGGGTGTTGACTTATTTTCCACGGAGAGACTTTGGGATTTCTTTTCTGCTAAAAGTCCTTGGCCGACTCTGTCAGTTTGATACAATGGCCGTGTTAGGTTTACTTTATGCAAATTATTATTGATCAATTTAGCTTTTTCTCCTTGAAATTATTTCAGGCCAATGTTAACAGCCATTTCGCCCAAAGGGTGACTGCCGCTGGAAACATTTCTTGTAATTTGCATAGGTCTGTGCCTTTCTGTGGATGGCTTATGTAGTACAAGTATAAATTTTGTTGTGGCTTTTGTTGGTATGCTTAAACTGCTAATAGAATCTTTTCTATATATGGGTTTTATCTCCTTGGGAGATTTCTTCTAAGTTTCATTAATGTGCTTCTATGTTGGGATTTTCTGGTGCTCGGCCGATTAACTTGGGGCCTGGGGTTGGTCAAAGCCAATAATTGTGTGTTATGGTACACTATATAACTTGTCTATCTAATTTTTGAAATCAACTGAGCATGATGATGGAGACAGGATTGAATTTGAGCTAACAATGATGATTAGTCGTTCTGTAGTTCTCATTGATCAAAGAACCTTAATTAGCATTTTTGGTTTTGCTAAGCAATTTTGTTTCCCTAATTTTGATTGTATGAATTTCTTGGGTACATCTAATTGCATACTAAAATGGGTTCTTTTAAGGCATATACTTGTATTGACTGAAAATTGTGCCTCTAGTGTTATAATTCTGGGATGTTTCCTTATGCTTAGCCCTAAGATCCTGATTTGTCTTTGTTGAAATTTTCATTTTTTTCCTTTTTTGCATGTTGGCATGATACAGCATCCTGTTTAATTGTTGATATATGCTATTCAGTAAATCTATCAGCATTATGTTTTTCTTAATTTTTACAATGTACTATTCCTGCATAATTTTAAATGTTTTGTTCAAATTGTGTACTCCTCTCACAACTGACCTTACTTTGGTGATTTTAGGAGTGCAGTGATAAATGTCTGGGACGATAAACTGAACCATTGTGCACTGCTCTCAAAATGGTGAGCTTACGGAGGCGTAGGCTCTTGGGACTCTGCTCTGGTAAATCTTAGATGAAACGTTTATCACATCACAAGATTATTTGTTTCTGTTAAATGAGTTATATTTTCTAACAGTGTTTAGCATGATGTCTGAGATATGACCATTTAAAAGATAGTATCCAACTTAATGGGTTCTACATTACACTTGAGCAAATATTATTCACCAAATTTGATGCCCTTGTGTAGGGAAGAATTCTTTTCTGGTTCCACTTCCAAGATTATTTGACAATGGAAGTTCTCTTAGATATTCAAGCCAAAATGCAAGACCTGTCAGTGTGCATCCCATGCCATCAGATAGTCCTAACCTATTTTGGAGAGTAAGAATTTATTCTTTGTTTATGCTTATTTGATCACATGAATCAGATGGAGTGTTTTCTCTGAAGATTTACTTGAACTGATTGATAATTCAAATTGATGTGAGAGTCAAGGTTTTCTAATTCTTGTACCATTTTCTACAAATTTAACAGTTGGCAAAGAGTTAGTGAGGATAGGGGGGCTTATGTTAAGGATGATTAATTTGTATGCATGTGTTAGGATCTTTGACATTTTCATTAGCATCCAATTATTTCATAGCATGATGAGTAAAGTCAAGTTGAGGGATGGGGTGTCCAAGATTTAAATGTCTTGTTTGAAGATACATGCTAAAAAACGCTCATCTAATTAGGCTGAATGATAAAAAGGACTATAATGAATTATATCCTCATTTGAAGATATATAAGTGGTAATAATGATATCTATTCTATATTTGCATCTATCTCATTGTAGGGATGACTGGATTTCTTCTCTCAATTTTGGTAAGGGAAGAGAATTCAGGATAGGTGGGTCCTGGAAAAAATGATGCTTGTTCGGCTGATTGTATGCCGGGGAACCTATTTTTACGGAGTTTTTTGTTTGAAATTACATGGTTTTACCTTGCTAGAATAATAGTTATCAAACAAATCAATGGTCAACCACAAAAGGATCAAAATTAGCTCCAGGCTAAACTTGCAGGCCAACTGTGCTTCTTAGTCAGTGCTTTGACATGCAATAAAATATCAGCATTCCTATGCTGTTTCATTATTTGGGGAAACTGACCTCAGGAATTTGGAATTTCTTATCATATTTTTTTACCTTTCCTGCTACCCTGTGGTTCATTTAATGGGCTCTAACAGGCATATTATCTTAACTTAAATTCTTAATTACTATTTAAAAACCTTTCCTTTTTGTGGACATCAGATGATGGGCTATACAACGAAGGATAGCCTTCTCTTCCCAAACCACTTCTTCCCATCTTAGGATTCAAACTTGAGACCTCTAACATGGGGCCTTAAGTTCTTAATGCCTAGAATGTCCCCGCAGGAACAACTATGTAAAGAAATTTAATAGTTCTAAATAATTCAGTGACATGATAAGAGGGTGATAAGAGGGTGGTGAGTTGTTTCTGCTGCTCGACATATTCTTCTTTATTAAATACTTAGGCTTACCACTATATAATTGCTGTTGTTTCTCAGAAAAGCATTGTGAAAGTAGGACCTGGGTCATATATTTCTGGTTCTGGCTCGTCCCATGCGCAGCATAATCAACCATCCACAGGTTTGTTTTTTTCAAAAATTGTTTCATATGTAGTTATGATCAAGCAGCCACAGAATTATTCACTAATTGCTCTAAAAGATCCTTTTTATTTTATTCAATCTTCTTTGCCTTTATAGTCATTACTTTATAATGCATAGAATAGAAAAAACAACAGCAGCAACCAGATTAGTTGATATTGATAGGCAATGAGATAATGACATAAAGAAACAAGATCTCTTAGCACTTAAAAGTTTAATGTAATAGATTTGTTAAACTAATCTCTTGCTTGTTGCTTTTGCCACTTTCTACTCTTTTTTTTTTTTTTTTTTTTCTAACTCATTGAGTTGAGCATGGTAGGCTTTGTTTTAATGCCAGAGAAGAAAAAATAACTAGTTCCTCAATTGTTTGGAGAATGATTATTTTGAATGTGATACTGAGAAATTGTTTTATTGAGAATTGATATAGCTCTATGCAAGATGGATATTCAGTCTGCTAATGTTAGAGATGAAACATAGGAAGCCTATCTATCTTTTGCATCATGACCTTGTAACATGAGACTTTTGGACTTATACCATGTGTTTGGGCTGTTGTTGGTGGCTACTTGGGAGACATGGAATGTCCGTCACAAGTAAATGAACCAGCTTGAGGACATTTTGCCTGTTTTGTTATTACCATAAAAAAAAAGGGGAGAAAAGAAAATAATATTTCTTATAACCAAGTTCATGCTATAATGCTTGTAGATAACACATTATTAGCCTGTTGATCTTATACTGTGGGCATTTTCTTCAGGTTTTCTTTTTCAGTGATGCTGTTGCATGATTTTAATTTTGCAGAGCAACCAATCAAACGGAGAAAGCAACATAGGAGAAAGCATGTTCACAACCAAGAAACATGTCTGCTGAGAGGTGTATACTTCAAAAATATGAAGTGGCAGGCAGCAATAAAAGTGGACAAGAAACAGATTCACTTAGGGACTGTTGGTTCACCAGAAGAAGCTGCGCACTTGTATGACAGGTAATGCTTTGTTTTTTACTGTGCTTGTGGCTGTTGCTACTATGGAATCACTTCCACTACATCACCTCTTCTTTATTACCAGGTTATTGAATTATGATCCCTATTATAATGTCCATTGAAACTTCAATCACTATTTGAATTTTTAGTAATGATTCAATAGCATGAAGCAGTAGGATTAGCTAATTTTTCAATATGGCAAAATATAAGCTTTATCTTAGCTTCATTAGAACAAAACCTAACATACAGTTGGAGGATCTAAGCAGCCAAAAAAGAGCAGATCTTTCCATCAGAGTTGTTCTTCATCTTTTTTGGTGCTTCTATTGAAAATGATGATGGAATTATCTTGCGTATAATGTTGGTGTAGAGAGGTATGTAGTTCAGTCGTTGGTTCTTTCATGCTTGGTGATGAATGAATTAACTTGAATGATCAAATATGTTACTCTTTTAATATTCCTTTCTTTTTTTTGGTGGTGTTCTATTATTCTTGAAAACGAAGTGTGTAAGGGCAATGGTTGCATTAAGTGTTCTTTTACACTTGAACTTAGCATCATGATAATGTTGATTATGTCACCCTAAAATATTTAATTGAACTAGTTAGCATTAAGTCTAGAATCAAAGATACAAATTCTGAAGTAGGTTATGCATGATAATAACAGACAGTAGAGTAATGGAAATGTAGTAGATCTTATTCACGCTAGAAGTCAGTGATTTGCTTATGCAGAGTTTTGCCAACCATGGGTAACAAACTGTATGTGGATTGACCTTGAAATGAAAGAATGTCATATGCATATTGCGTAAGCAGACAGGATGATATACATTTATTTTCTATTTAGATCTGCAACATCCTAATTGTATGGGAAAATTTAGAATTCATGTGCAATTTTGGCCTCTGCATACAAAAAGTAAAGGCTAATGTTTCATATGCACTTCTATTCTCATCTTGGGGCTTTCTCAAACTTACAAGGTCATTGTCAAGATGTCTTTTATTTGTTAAAAAAATTGTTAAAGTTAGCTTCTTGGAGAACATATTGAGGCATGTTTGATAGCCATTGATAACTTTGAATCTGCAGAGCTGCCTTCATGTGTGGAAGGGAGCCTAACTTTGAGCTCCCAGAGGAGGAGAAGCAAGAACTAAGGGGACTCAAGTGGGAGGAATTCCTGGCATTTACTCGTCGTGCAATCAATAGTAAAAGTAAATCCTTTGCTTATTTTATCCTTAATTATCAGAGTCTTTATTCCTCTAAGTGTTCAATGAGTTGCCTCTATAACGATAATTTCAGAGAACAAGAAAAGGATAGGGAAGCAGTCTGAATCCACCATAGACTACATCAATTGGGACAGAAAGCAACAAGTCAAGAACTTCTTGGCATTGGAAGAGACAGGGCCTGACTCCTCAGCCTAATTTGCGTGGATAATTGTCTAGTAGCCTTAGGTGATCAGCCTCCATTTTTGGGTGTATGAAGGCCCCTCCTATTAGGGTAGGTAATGATAGATTTCATTATTGTTCGGTGAGCAAATAGCGACATTAATTCATAACACAATAATCCAGCAAGTGTTAGATGCATCATCTGCACCAGCCAACTATGTTGTTAGGTAAAATACATGTAGTGCTTATTTTGTTCGAAAAACATGGAAACTTGGTCAGAAAGGAAAGAAAACCATAAATTTGTCTTCAAACCCTTTCACACATGCTGTTATAATATGTTTGGGTTAAAGAATAGAGGAGAGAAAAAGAAAGGGTTTTTTAATTAATTAAATTATAATGTTTTTAAATATTACAATCTAATTGATAAAAATTTTTTTCCTTCTCCTCTCCTTTTCATTTTACTCAACCAAAACAAACCATTAGTGTTTGATCTACAAAAATTAGGCAATGAAAAAAAAAATTTTTAAATGTGGTTTTAATGAAGTATCATAAAAAAAAATTAAGGGTCCTGTAAGGATAGGTTCGAGATCAATGATCTTGGACGTGCTACAAAGCGATTTCTTAATGAATGAGATAAGACGTAAGTTTAGCTTTTTTTCGGTCACACAGGTGCATGATAACTACGATATGCATGCTCGCACCAAATCCCACATTCTTGAGATCATCACTTGATCGGATACGTCAAACTCCGATTATCTCGTTAAGTAAGCCGCATTGACACCTCATTAAGCCCTATAAATACTCTCATGGATCACATCCAAAAGGTAATTGAAACTAACCTAAAATTTTTTTTTTACAGTCATCTCTTAAGGTAGATCAGATTATTGTTAACTTAAGTATCAGAGTGTCTGCCTCAAGGATCACCTCAAGGCTTTGCAAGTTTATTTGAAGAGAAGATCTGGACTGAAGAAAACTCAGTGGTTTGTTGCAACTACATTTGGCGCCGTTTGTGGAAAATTGAATTGAAAGCTTTGTCGTTACCTTTTTACCATGGTTAATACCCACTCAGTTCGAACTAGAAGTCAGGCCCAGCCTCTAGGCTGAGGGCAAGTACATAACACCAATAACTTCCCAATACCCACTTCAAACCTACTCGTTCCTATGGAATAGCATGAGGGGGGTGATGAGAGTCAGCCTCCTAATTCCACTCCCATCCCCAACCAAAGTGATCCAGTGGCAGCTCAGCTTATAGCAATGCAACAACAATTCAGTGTTTTCCAATTGGTCTTGGCTTAGCTCTTAGCTCGAAATAACCCTAGGGATCCCCTAATTAACTTATTGAATCCAGCCCCACAACCCCCAACTCAACCATAACAACCACCTCATGATCACTCTAATAATCATCCACTTGCTTCAGCCCTTAGTGAGTCACAGGGCCAGTCTCATGGGGTCCCACCTCAACAACCTCTGCCAAATGATGTTACTTGACGATTGGATAGTTTAGAAAGGATGGTAGCCAAATAGCAAGGTGCTCCACCCCCACAGAACAATGCTAACTCCATGCCACATCCGTTGAACACCAACATAACTTTTGAAACCCTATTTTGTTGGTTTCAAGATGCCTTAGTTTGAAACATATGATGAAACCAAGGACCTAGATGATCATCTACATGCTTTCTATTCTTGCATGCAAGCTCAGAATGCTTTAGATGCTTTGATGTGCAAAATATTTCCCTCCACTCTCCAAGGTAATGCTTGAACTCAATACTATAGCTTGCCTTCGAGATCCATTAGTTCTTATACAGAGATGGCCTTTGCCTTTGTCACGAAATTTTCTAGTAGAAGATTGATTAAGAGTACTACACCTAAGCTCATGGGGGTCCTCTAAAGGGATGAGGAATCTTTGAAAAATTACATGAACAGATTCAATGATGTAGTTTTGGAGATTAGTTCCTTTGATCAAGCTGTTGGAATAGCAGCTATAATTCAAGGTTTTAACCATGAAAGATTCAAAGATAGTTTGATTAAACATCCCTCTGCCACCTTTGATGAAGTTAATGATAGATCTCGGAAGTTCATAATAGTTGAAGAATATGCCCTGTCATAAAAGCCAGCACTTATTAAGAATCAAAACTCGGCTTGGAGAGAAGAGGGACAGAGCAGGAAACGGGTGAAGACAGTTCAAAATCGAGGTCCAATGTCGACCTTTACACCGAGATTTGGAAAACCAGATTCGGTAGCTCCTTAACAAACCCCAGGAAAGACACCAACTACATGGACCCCTTTTAATCTGCCAAGGTCACAGATATTCATGCAGATCAAGAATAAGATGGACTTGAAGTGACCAACACCAATGAGAAGTTCTACTACCACATAAGATCACACCAAATCTTGCGATTTCCATCAAGATCATGGTCATACAACAGAGGAATGTAATAATCTTAAATCCGAACTGAAAGGTTTGGCTCAGAGGGGGCTGTTGAATGAATACATTCAGAGGACAAATCAGCCCAAGTTTGTAAGAGAACAAGGATTATAGCCACAGGGGGCTCATAATACAAGAAACAGAGACGAAGTGGGATATTAGCAAGCACCTCCACCCCTTCCCCCCTAGCTAGAGTTATTCACATGATTACGGGTGGACTGGAAGTAGGAGGCTTGAGCTCCAAGCAACAAAAGCTATAGGTTAGAGAGGTGAAACACTAAAATCTAGCTCAAAAGAGAAAGTTTGATGAAGTTAAGTGGAAGAATCAACCCATCACATTCACATCTACTAATCTGGAGGGTGTTGTAACACCCAACAATGATCTGTTGGTCACTTCTGTTATGATCAATAACCGTGAGGTACAATGTGTTCTCATTAATACGGGTAGTGCACCAAACATTATGTACTATCATTGTTTTGAGAGTTTGGGCCTTGATTCGACTCTATTGTAGAGGTACGTATGATGGCCTTATCTATAGTTTCAACAACTAACCAGTTCCAATTGAAAGGGTTCTTACTCTTAATGTGGCATTTGGGCGTGGCTGAAATTATGTCACCCCCTCAATTTGGTTCTTGGTTGTTAAAATGGCATCTTCTTTTAATGTTGTAATTTATCAACTCACACTGATAGAAATTTGAGCCATAGTTTTTCAATCACATTTGTGTATGAAGTTCCCCACACCCATGGGAATAGCAACATTGAGAGGTAACCAGGAGGTAGCTAGGCATTGTTATATTACCTCAATTGTTTGTGCCCCTAGAAGGAGAAAAATCAGATTTCAGAGACTGTTCCTCAAGAAGTTTCTACAAAACAACAGGTTATGGGAGTAAAGATACTTGACAATCGACCGGAAATGAAACTTGAGCTGCTTTGGTTGAAGGCTTTGAAGAAGTACAGATTGATGATAGAGATTCGAGCAGGAAAACCCAGATTGGGATCCGTCTGAACCCAGAAGAAAGAGCAGAATTGATAGCTTTCCTCTGAGTTAACAAATATGTTTTTGCTTGGACCTCTACAAACATGCCAGGAATCCTAACCTCTGTATCTATGCACAAACTTAGCACAAATCCCTTGAAAAAGCTCGTTGCACAGAAACGACGTCTCTTCGGGAGGGAGAGACTTAAGGTAATTAAGGAAGAGGTAGAAAAGCTCTTACAAGTAGGCTTTATTAGAAGAGTTGACTATTGTGAATGGGTTGCCAACCCAGTGTTGGTTAAGAAAGCTAATGGAAAGTAGAGAATGTGAATTAACTACACTAACCTCAATCAGGCTTGTCCCAAAGGTTGCTACCCAATGCCAAACATTGACAAACTAGTTGAGGCAGCTTCTGGAAATGAGAGATTGAGGTTCTGTTTGGTATAGCTGGTAGGAAGTCTTTTTGGACTCCAAAAGCTCCAACTACACCAAACACTATAATTTGTACAACTTCTCACAAGTTAGTATTTTGTCCATTTCCTTGCAAATCTCAAAAGCATCGAATTTGTGCTTCTACAAAAGTTTCTCATTTGGGTTTTAATGAAATTAACACATTATTCCTATTTTATCCTTATTTTTCTTTCTATTTACAAAAACAACACTTTTACAACAGTTTCTTTCCAATAGAACTTCTATTAAAAGCTTCAGCCACACCAAACGGGCACTGAGTTTGTTAGATGCATATTCTAGATACCACCAAGTCCTGATGGCTCTTGAAGATGAAGAGAAGACCTCATTTTAATCAGGTGATAAAATTTATTGTTATGTCATGATGCCATTTGGCTTAAAGAATGTAGGTGCCACTTACCAGAAGATGGTAACCATTGTGTTCCGAGCTTAACTTGGTTGGAATTTGGAAGTTCATGTTGATGACATCATGGTGAAGAACTTGAAAGCTAAAGACCATTTAGTTGACCTGGATGAAACTTTCATCAATTTGAGGAAAAATAAGATGAGGTTAAATCCAGCAAAGTGCATCTTTGGGGTGGAGTCTGGAAAATTCCTAGGTTTCATGGTTTCTAGAAAGGGGATCGAGGTCAACTCGGAGAAGATCAAAGCAATAGAATTGATGGGACCTCCAAAGTCAGTTAAAGATGTGCAAAGGTTGACTGGGAGAGTGGCAGCCCTTTATAGATTCATTTCCAAGTCAACTGACAAGTGCCTCCCATTCGTCAAGATCATGAGATCGGTAATTCAAAAAGATGAATTTGGCAAACAGAAAAAGTTCAAATGGATCCCAGAATGCCAAGTTCTAGTCGACGAGCTTAAGTCCTATCTTAGCTCACCTTCATTATTGATGAAAACTGTTGATGGGAAGATCCTTTACTTGTACCTCAAAATCTCAGATGAAACAGTCAGTTCTATGTTAGTGAGGGAAAAGGGAAAGTAGCAAAAGCCAATCTATTATACAAGGAGAGTGTTACATGGGTAGAGCAAAGATATTCTATTGTTGAGAAAGCAACGTTAGCAGTTGTTACTTTAGTTAGAAAATTAAGGCCATATTTTCAGTCACACCCAGTTGTTGTCCTTACAGAAAATCTTACAGAAGCTAAAGTGCTCAAGTAGGTTAATCAAATGGGCAATTGACTTAGGGGAATTTGAGATAACATTCTAGAAAAGGTCAGCAATTCGAGCTCAAGCATTGGCAGACTTTGTTGCTGAGTGCACCTCTGGTCAGTCAAGCTTGGATCCCAAGCCAGATATGTGGATTCTATATGTTGATGGGGCCTCAAACAATAAAGGATCAGGAGCTAGAGTAGTTTTGGTGGGACTAGATGGCTATCAAAGTGAGCACACTTTGAAATTTAATTTTGATGCAACTAATAACATGGCTGAATACAAAGCTTTGCTACCTGGGGCTCTAGCTAGCATGAGAGTTGAAAGTCAAAGTGAGACAAATTTACAGTGACTCACAACTCGTGTTTAGTCAAGTCAACTTAGTCTGCGAGGTAGTCAATCCCATTTTGATGAAGTATGTAACCCTGGCAGCTCAACTCAAATGCAAATTTGAGAAATTCTATTTAAGCAATATACCTAAGGTTGAAAATGAACAGGCAGATTCACTCTCTAAATTTGCCTCCGACAGTTCCAGAAGTACGATATCAGTTTTTGTTGAAGTTCTCAATGAGCCCAGCTTCCAAAAGCTAAAGATGATGGAGATTAGTATAGATCTGAACATACCGAGCTAGATAGACCCAATTAAGTCTTTCTTACAAGACGGTTCTATCCCTAAAGATAAGCAAGAAGAAATGAGGTTGAGAAAGAAGGCATCTCAATATTCCTTAATTAATGGAGTCTTGTATAAGAGGTTTTTCTCACTCCCTTTACTCTATTACTTAAGCTCTTACGAAGCAGAATATGCACTTCGGGAAGAGCATGAAGGTGTTTGTGGGAGTCATGTTAGTGCCTGAATCCTGGCTCATAAAGTTCTCAAGCAAGGATACTATTGGCCTAATTTGTAGAAGGATGCCACTAATTTTATGTAGAAGTGCCCAAAGTGCCAATTCTTTATGCATTTGACTCATCAACCAGTAGAAGAGCTGACAAATCTAGTGGCACCATGGCCATTTGCGCAGTGGGGAGATCTCTTAAGCCCATTTGTGAAAGGAGTTGGAAGAGTAACACACTTGATAGTTGGTGTTGGTTACTTCACAAAATAGGTTGAACTTCAATCACTATCTAGTATGACCTCCAAAAAGGTTGAAGACTTCTTTTTCAGTTCAATTATCTATAGATACGGGATCCCGAATCAAATTGTCGTTGATTATGGAATTCAGTTTAACTGCACCTCATTTAGAGACTTTTGCTTTAGTTACAGAATTAAACTACAATTTACCTTTGTATACCACTCAGAGTCTAACGAAATGGTGGAATCAGTTAACAAAGTTATCCTAGAAGAAATAAAATCGAGATTGGAGCAGCATCAAGCTAGGTCAGTAGACGACCTTCATAATGTGCTATGGGCATACAAAACTAGAAGCTAAACTGCCACAAATACCATTCCTTGACCTCATCTACTTCTATGTTCCTTTATTATATTTCCTGTTGCTTCAATTTTAGTTAAAAAATATATAAAACACATAAAGCATATACTAAAATGATAACTCCATGAAATAGGTGCAACACCATGTCACCTAGCCTTCAGTATTGAAACAGTCATTCCTATTGAGATAGAGTCCCAAGCTTCAAGGTCACCCATTTCAATGAGGGATGAAATGGACAACTGCTTCAGGGAAACCTTGATTTGCTTGTTGAAGTTAGAGAGGAAGCTCGACTTCAAACTTTGTCATACAAGCAGAAGTCAGCTAACTTCAACAACAAATGAGTTCGCCCTCGAACATTCCAAGTTGGCGAGCTTGTTCTTAGAAAAGCTAGTCTCACAGGATTTGAAACCCGATTTGGAAAATTAGCCCCAAAGTAGGAAGGTCCTTACATAATGATTGAAGTACCATACCCAAGTGTTTATATCCTCTAAGACGCCAAAGGAAAAAAAGTTCTTAAGAGTTTGAAATGTCAACAATCTTAAGAAATGTTACCCTTAATTTAATCCCTTCTATCCAAGATGAATTTTGTCTAATTCTACTTCACATTTTTTAATTCTTTTGTCTGAGATGAATTTGTTGTTCAAATAAGCTTTTGAAGTTATATTTCATTAATGGGAATTTCACTTCATATTTGAGGTGATTTCATTTCTTCACTTTAGCCCTTCTTTCACATAAATCAAATGCACAAATGTATCAATGAATTAGTGTGTAAAAATTACAAGAATAGTTAAAACAAAACAAAACAAATACATTGTTCAAAGATCAAAGCTAAAGAAAGAGATTAATAAAACAAAGGATAACTACTCTGCTAGTGGAGTTGGCTGGTTCGCTTCTTTCTGGTTCCCCTTTTCCTCCGGCACAATCTCTCCAACCTCTGCCTCTTCCTCAACAACAATGAACTTGAAGTCAAAGTTCAGAGGAAAAATGGTACGACCTTCATTGTTGTGATCCTATTTCAGCTTGACCTTGGGATGGAAGTAAGCCGTCTAGCTCTTCTCGTTCTCCTCCACTCCCCCTTCTTACTCTCCAAAGGTGATACTAGTCACATCCACTTCTAAGTATATTGAGCTTTCACCTTCTTCCTACAGTCTGTGAAGGCCAAAATCATTGTAGGAAGTTGGTAAAGGTTCACAATGTTATCAAATGTGTTGGACTTTAGAAACTCAACAATGTGATCCTCCATCAAAATATACACCAACAGATCCAAATTTTTCTTCAGGTCGGCACCTGCCTCCTTCATTTTCTTAATCTATTTCTCTTGAGTTTCTATCTTCTCCTCACACATTTTTCTTTTCCTTTCCTCAAACATGAGCTTCATCTTCAATAAATCATTTTCCTCTTGAAGGTGCATGAGCTCTGGCATAGCCTTTGCCAAATCCTTCTCTACCTCCTCCTTCATCGTCCTTAAATCCTCATTTTCCTTCGCCAAGGTGTTACGTTCCTTGAGGGTTTCAAAAAATTCTTGTGATAACGCATTCACTAAGTTTGCAGCCTGCAATATCCACAACAATCAGAAACTAAATAAATAAATAAATAAATAGAAGAAGAAACGTTGGTTATAAAACCTAGCCATACCTCAAGGACGTGCTGAACAATCCCAACCCCACCATGACTTAGCACTTCTTCCCTTGCTCGGCAACGATCCACCTCAGGGAACATTGAGTTTATAAACCTCTTCGCAACTGTTAAGCTCTTTGTGTCAAACAAACTAGCTTGCTACGAAGAAGCAAGAATAAGGGTTTTCCCTTTTCCTTGGGTTATAACTCTAACCTCCCTAAGCTTTGGATTGAGCTTAACTAAGGGAGGACGAGTACGAACTCCATTATCTCGTCCCCCCTACCCTCTTGTTCCTCCACCCTCATCCTCTTCTGAGCAAGCCCAACTTCTTCACTTTTCTTCCGCTTGAGCTCCGCCCTCAACCCCTCAGCATCCAAAGCTCAGATTAAGGTTTTAGAAGCCTACTCCTTTTCTTTGCCTCTAGCTCCCCCTTGATTGGCAGTAGTTGCAAAAGTCTTTGATTTCTTTTACAACTTCTTAGGGATAGCCACCCCTCAGCTGTGGAAAGGAATTTGTCTATCTTAACTGCAAAATTGTAAAATGTTAAAGCAACCATCAAGTCCTCACTTCAAAATATATAATATAAAATAAAACACACCTTCACTCAAAGAGCTTGCTCCATAGAGCTCAATCGCCTCCACAACATCTGAGCTGGTGAGATACATGATGTTTATAACATCATTTCCCTCTCTCACCAACTTCTCTGTCTCTTCCTCCTCATCCCTATTCAGACTATACTTATTTTGATTTGCTTTCTTTGCCTTCCAAGCGAACAAAAATTCCACTTCTGCATCCTTTCTCCCCCACTCAGTGTCATCAACAAAAAATAATTTTTCCTTCCATCCTTTAATAGATGATGGCCCTGAACTAAATAAATTTCTCTTTTCCTTATTGGACGCTCAGGGGGTAAAATAGTACCACCCTTTCTTCTTCTTACTCCCACCGTTTATGACAAAGAAATGTTTAAATATATTTATAATAGGCACTATAACACCCCGAGCTCAACAATAAACTAAAAAACTTATCACTACCCTCATGACATTTGGGGCTAGTTGTGTTAAATCTATACTATAATCCAACAACAAGCCAACCAAGAGTTTAGGGATAGGAAACCTTAGCCCTATTGATAAATAATGGGCATAAATGAGCATCCAATGATCCTGGGGTGCTGAGCATGCCCTCTCCTCCACTCTAGTCAACCTAATCAGCACTTGAGAAGGCAAGTCATACGTTTCAACTATGTGGATCATGCTCTCCTTACTCAGTCTCATACCCCATTACTTTAGACATAATGTCTGCCTCCATATCATAACACATATCCCCCTCATCCCCAACTCTTAAAATATTCGAAAGGATCCCCTCCCCCTCTCCTTCACCCACCTCTTCCCCACCCATATACTCCTTTGTCCTCTCTGACCTAGACGATTCAGTCTCTATACCAATATCTTCGAGCACCCTCACTTCCTCACTTCCTCACTTCCTCCAACACTTAATGTTTCCACTGATAACATATCTTCAGTTTCATAACTCTTGCTGCACAGAGTAAGAGGAGGGATGTAGTCAAGATTTTTAATAAATTCTAACTCACGTTCAATGTCACTCTCACTTCTAAATCTAACCTCTTTAAGAGGACTTAAGTCTAAATCAGAAATGGTGAGAGGAGAATCAAAATCTTCACTAGAGTTGGAATCAACAAAACTCATAAGTTACCTAATCTGGGTAATGTAGAACTTGGCGTTGAATCCAAAAATGCCACGCACAGAAGTTTGGATGTCGAATTAGCCTTGTTGAACTTTTGGCTGCACTTCGGTAGTAAACACAACAAAATAATAAAAATTTACACAAGTTTGGCTATATATACTAATACATGTATTGGTCTCAACGACAGTTAATTCCTAAGGGAACCTTTTCGAATTTGAAGGTTCGTTTTGGTAAAGACGTGACGGTTCCTTTTGCAATCGTATTTATTACCCACGTCCTTTAAGGACAATAGTCGTCTCATGTACTGACTCCCTTTTCCTACTTTGAATATGGCCCAACTAAACCCAACCCAAATATTGCCACTTATGCAAATGTCTCCTATCACCACCAGTATTTTATCTCTAACTACGTGTCACGCATTTTCACTTAGGCTATGGTCATAACAACATGACTACATGTCATGCATTTTCACTTTGGCTACAACCATAACGACATGACCATGTGTCATGCATTTTTACATCAGCTATGGCTATAATGACAGGACTACGTGTCATGCATTTTCACTTCGGCTACGACCATAATGACATGACTACGTGTCATGTATTTTCACTTTGGCGACCATAAAAACATGTCTACGAATCATGCATCTTCACTTCAGCTACGGCCATGATAACGTGACTACGTGTCACGAATTTTTACTTCGGTTATCACAATAATGGTGTGACTTCATACCATGCATTTTTTTCCAGTAGTTGGATCTTTGATCTTCATTATATGATATTTCATCATGTATTTTCAAACAATTATACACAATCCTTACCACCTTCAGATACATTATTCACAAGTGAATGACTTTGGGGGGGGGGGGAGAGGAATAATGTAAGGAGAGGTTTGAGATCAACGATCTCGGATGTACTATAGGGTGATTTCTTAATGAACGAGATATGGTGTAAGTTCAGCTCTTCCCGATCACACAGTTGCATGGTAACTACAATATGCATGCCTGCACCCAATCCCTCATTCCCAAGATCATCACCTAATCGGACATGCTAGACCCCGATTATCTTGTGAAGCAAGCCACGTGGACACCTCATTAAGGCCTATAAATACCCCCATGGGTCACCTCCAAAAGGTAATTGAAACTAACCTAAAGCTTTTTTGGTAGTCTTTTCTTAAGGTAGACCCGATTATTGTTGACTTAAGCATCGCAGTGTTTACCTCGAAGTCCCACCTCGAGGCTTTGGAGGTTTATTTGCAGAAAAGATCTGGCCTGAAGAAAACTCAGTGGTTTGTTGCAACTACAGGTTCATTTAATATCATTGCCTACTTTTTGTTTTATGTTTTCCTTGTCAAAATTTAAACGGTTGAAATTGGCAATTAAAAGATAAAATTGAAAACTCAAATTGACAACTTGTTAAGTATGAAATTATAAAACTAATAAAAAGAACTAAACAATAGTTAGTTAATTTTTAATTTTGATTTAGTGTTCTTTAAATTTTGATAATAAAAACCAAAAATGGGCAATAACAACATAGTTATAAAACAAGGGTTGGCACTTGATTTAACTTTAGAGAAAAATGTTTATCCATTGTATCTTAAAAAAATTAAGAGACAAAATGCTTCATGTCATTTAAAATTTTCTTTTATTAAACCAAACTTAATTACGAGATAGACAAATTAACAACATTCAAATTTAAAACTTTATTTTGAGGTTACTTACTTTATTACCACCGCTTTATGGATAGCTAAGTTGTCAAACTCAGAGTTTATGTATAATCATTTTAGTTAAGTTAAATCATAATCATAAAATTGATTCAATAAAATCAAAACCATCCTAAATGCATGTTGTCCATGATGTGTTATTTTTAGTTGAACTTGTTGCTTGTTGGACCATCCAAAAGAAAGAAGTCTTTGGTTTCCTCATGTTTATTGAAAGCTTTTGTTAGTTCCATTCATTCCTACTTCCTAGGTGGGTTTAAGCCATTTTGTGTAGTGTGCTCAGATTTTTCTAGTTTAAAATGAACATAAATACAATGAAGTTGGAATCATGTCAAAATTTTTGTATTAAGAATGCCATAGTGAACGTTATGTGCAGATAGAAGCAATTTGTCTCTGATTTTATTTTTTTGGCCAATTGCATTTCTGCATTGATCTATGGTATTGGTGTTTACGCAAGCAATTTGCATTTTACCTTCTAGGTTCTTTTACTACACTTTTTATATTGCTTGCATTTTACATTCTTGGTTCTTTGATTGCATTTTTTATATTTGATTAAACCCTCATTTTGGCCCCTCAACTATTGTATGAACCCTTGATTGAGTCTCTTAACTCAAAAAATCCCTGATTTGGTCCCTACTATTTATCATTTTGGCCCTAACTTGGTCTTTCCATTAAGATCTCATGACATGTCCTATTAATTCACTGCTAGATGATGTTTTGGGACATTGTGTAAGGGCTTTGAGTTCTTGTGCTCATAATAGGCAATGGAACTGTGAGAATAGATTTTAGTTTGGATGCCCATCTCTGATGGTAGCTTTTGTATGACCCCTTTGGTCCTTTCTGTGAGAAAGAGGCTAGTCTTTGATTTCCATGAATCAACTTTGTAGAATTTGTCACTAAAACCTATTACTGTGTATGATATGGTTGCCATTTCATGTGTGCATATTTTATCATTAGTAGACCTTTCATGCAGCGTCCTGTGTTCTTTATGCAAAGTCTGTTGATGGAAACTACTAAGCGATATTTTGGGATGTTGTGAAAAGGCTTTGAGTTCCTACATTGATAACAGGCAATGGAACCATGATGATAATGAAACTCTGTTTGGATATCACATCTGATTGTAGTTTCTGCATGGTCCTTGTGCACCTATGAAAGAGAGACTTATTTTTGATTTCCATATCTCAACTTTTGGTAGAATCTATCAAAACAAGCATTTGCGTAGAATAAGATATTTGCCATTTTTATGTGTGTAAAATTTATCATCCGTAGGGCTTTATGGCTGTGTTCTGTTTCTTCTATTCTTTTAACTTTATTTTCTTGCATACTAGGGAATCACTTGATTGGAATGATTAAGTGGTTTTAACTGAATTACCAATTGATGATTGAGATATTGTGCAAGGGCTTTGAATTCCACTTTAACAAAAAAAATGAAATATCAAAAGACCTTATCCCATCTGATGGCACACAAAATTTATCTTCCTGTATGCCTCTAAATTTGTTTTATCATTTGTTTTTTCAATCCATGGGAAAGCATATTCTAACACTTTTTTTTTTAATATGACTTTGTCATCCTTCAAGCCATGGACCAAATTGAAGAAATGTGTAACTGAACAGACAACAGTTCTCTGATGCTTCTTATTCTTTTTACTCCTAAACAATCTTTTTGCAACAATGCTATGAATAATGTGTTTTGCATAAAAAATGGACATTTAGCAGTTGAAAATCATTTTCCAATTCCAAACATTTGTTTTGCACCAAGGGATAATCTTGATGTTGTTATTTCTAATTTCACTTGTAAATGTGTTTAGCAATGTTTCAATTTAGATTTGTTATTTATGAGATAGATAAACAAGCAAAGACATTGTCTTTGTTATTAAGATAGTTTTTTGTGCTAATCTTTTGATCCATAGTGTTTTATCCTTAAGCTTTTTATGCATGAAGAATTCAAATTTAAAAGTTTCTATTCATTTTTAAAGCTTTAAAGTTGTTTGGGATAACATCAGGATTTACTGAGCTAGTTCTCTCTAGAAATTCAATGAAGCATATTCTAAAGATTTTGACAACACCAGTGGCCATTTTTGCATTTTGGATTGGCCTCTTGCAAGCATTTATAATTCCACAAAGCTAGACTTTTTTGGTAAGTTCCCTCTCCCCCTTCCTCCTTTCAACTTTTCTTCACTTGACTTAGTTTTCATTTGTGTATAGGATAAACAAGCTAACATTTTATTTGTTCAATCTCTCTCTCTCTCTCTCTCTCTCTCTCTCTCTCTCTCTCTCGCCAACTACCTATCTATTTTATTGTGTCACTTGGTTGCTATGGTTTATTAATGGTTGGAGTTGGCTTGATGCGATTTCCAACTTGTCCTCAAGAAGCATTGCTGCTACAGCAACTATTTTCCTCCCTGGTTCTATGTTAATCTTGCTTTTTAGATTTTCATAGTGAGTTACTACTTTGTGGTATTTGTTTAGGAAATTGGGTGTGGTTGTTAACTTAATCAATCCCAACCCTTCACGAATTGCTTAAAAA